ATGGCATCACAGCTCACAGCAACCTCCAACTCCTGGGCTCAAGTGAGTCTCCTGCCTCTGCCTCCCAAGTAGCTGGGACTACAGGCACCTGCCACTTGTTTGGCGGGCCTGGGCTGGACTCAAACCCGCCACCTTAGGTGTATATGACTGGCGCCTTAGCCACTTGAGGCACAGGCGCTGAGCCTACCATAAGAACTCTTCAGGATGCATCTTTGTCAGCTTGTATTAAGAATTCATAGGAAGTCTGGGTGCAGTGGCTCAAGCTTGTAATCCTAAGGCTCTAGAAGGCTGAGGTCGGTGGATTGCTTGAGTTCAGGAGTTCAAAACCAGCCTGAGCAAGACTGAGACTCCGTCTCTAAATATAGCCAAGCATCGTGTTAGGCACCTGTAAGTCCCAGCTACTTGGGAGGCTGAGGCAAGAGGATTGCTTGAGCCTAAGAATTTAAGGACCCCATAACACTCTACAGAGGGTGAAAAAGTAAAACTTTGTCTCAAAAAAATAATACATAGGAAACATTTCTATCATAGGGATTTCTGGATCAAGATGTGTGTGCTTTCAAAAATTGCCATAGGCTAGGTATGGGGACTTACACCTGTAAGTGTCGGTGTCCCTTTATGTAAGCCCCTCCACTGCAGCCGTCTCCTGCTCAGACCCTAGTACTTTGGGAGGGGTCACAGGTGACCCCTGAGGCAAGAGGATCACTTGAGACCAGGAGTTTGAGACTAGTCTGGGCAACATAGCAAGACACTGTCTCTTTAAAAAAAAAAAAAAAAAACTTAAAAATTTGCCAGGTGTGGTGATACATTCCTGAAGTCCCAGCTACTTGAGGGCTGAGGCAGGAGGATCACTTGAGCCCAGGAGTTCAAGGCTGCTATGAGCTATATGATCAGTATAAGACTCTGTCTTTTAAAAAATAAAATTTTTTAAAAATGAAATTTCCCTCTTAAAAAGATGCATCTATTTATAATATCATCAAAAATGAGCAAGAGTGATTGATTACCCATGTGCTTAGAATCCTAGATTTTACCAAACTTTCACATTTTTGCTAATATGCAAGGTGAAATAGAATCTTATTTTAACTTAAGAAAAGTTTGAGTATCTGTGTATTTTCTGGCCACTGCTTCTCTGGGTGAAGTATCCTTTACCCATTACTTTCCATTTTTTATTTCCTTCTCTGGTGTTTGATCTTTTTTTTATGTAGAGACAAAGTCTCACTTTGTTACCCTCAGTAGAGTGCTGTGGCGTCACACAGCTCACAGCAACCTCCAACTCCTGGACTTAGGCGATTCTCTTGCCTCAGCCTCCCAAATAGCTGGAACTACAGGTGCCTGCCACAAAGTCTGGCTATTTTTTTATTGTTGTTGCAGTTCCACCGGGGTTGAGTTTAGAACCCGCCACCCTTGGTATATGGGGCTGGTGCCCTACTCACTGAGCTACAGGCGCCGCCCTGGTGTTTGATTTTTAAAAAATCATTCCCAGGGCCAGGTGTGGTGGCTCACGCCTGTAATCCTAGTACTCTGGGAGGCTGAGGCGGGTAGATTTGCCTGAGCTCACAGGTTCAAAACTAGCCTGAGCAAGAGTGAGACCCTGTTTCTAAAAATATCTGAGCACTGTGGCAGGTGCCTGTAGTCCCAGCTACTTGGGCGGCTGAGGCAAGAAAATCTCTTAAGCCCAAGAGTTTGAGGTTGCTGTGAGCTATGATGCCATAGCTCTCTACCGAGGGAGACAGAATAAGATTCTGTCTCAAAAAAAAAAAAAAAAAAGATTCCCAGTATTACTTTCACAATTTAAAAGAAACAATACACGGGGGTGGGAGGGACACCTGTGGCTCAGTGAGTAGGGCGCTAGCCCCATATACCAAGGGTGGTGGGTTCAAACTCAGTCCTGGCCAAACTGCAGTAAAAAAATAGCCGGGCGTTGTGGTGGGCACCTGTGGTCCCAGCTACTCAGGATCCTGAGGCAACAGAATCACCTAAGCCCAAGAGCTGGAGATTGCTGTGAGCTGTGACACTACAGCACTCTACTAAGTGTGACAAAGTGAAACTCTGTCTCAAAAGAAAAAGGAAAAAAGAAAGAAACAATACACGGTAAAAATAATGGCTGGACAAGAAGTAAATATAGGGTTAAAAAATAATATTTTAGAGTGGATTTTATAATAGTCAGTCGTATGTGACAATGTTGTTTCAGTGAGCTTGCCAAGGAACTTTACATTTCTGTTAGCTTGTAAAGATAATTGTGATATGTAGTTTAATGGGAAAAGTCAAATGATAGGTGAGCGTGTTACATGGGTCCAGTCTGCTTTTCAAACAAGGGGGAGAGGGGAAGAGGAGGAGATAACAGAGAAACAGAGAGAGAGAGAAGAGAGGAGAAGGGAGAGGAGGAGAGAAAAGGAGAGGAATGGGGAGAAAATAACTCAAAGGGAGGTGTCATTCTCTGTTCTCCTAGCCCTGCTGACTGCCCAGTGGATCACCAATGGGTATAGGTGCAGGGGGCATCATGGTGGGTGATGACAGAGCCTCTTGCCCGGCCTGCTGTGAATTTCAGTGTTCTTAGCAAGCACCCCGTGCAGAGAAGATTGCTAGATGTCTTTTCCATGATTATCCTTTGAAGGTATTGGAAGCACTTAGTCCAGACAAGAAGACCCTGAACTATATAGGCCTATATATGGGAGGGTGCCACCCTCCAGATGTCCTCTGCCCCAGAGCCTGGCCTCCATGGACCACCTGGCTGTGGGTTCAGCAGATGGGAAGTGGGCTTGGAGGTCAGAGGGTAGAGTGAGCATTTGCCGCACCCCCATGGCCCCGTCAGCCCCTCCCTGCCAGCTCGCCACCAGTGGACTGCTTTCCCTCCTGGGGCCACAGCCTGTTTCCATGAATCCTGGGGACTGACCCTCCTGTGCCCTTCAGGCCTGGGGTGCTGAGGGCTGCCCTCAGGTGCCAGCCTGCTGAGAACCCACCCACCTTGCTCCCCTTGCTCTGCAAGGGCCCATGTAATGTGTTCCTTTATGTAAGCCCCTCCACTGCGGCTGTCTCCTGCTCAGCCCTAACTGCCTGGTCCTACATGTGGGTCCCACTACACCCTATCACTCTGCTAGGCTGTGAGCCCCTTGGGAGCACAGAGCCTTGCACAGCTGGCCACCACCAATGCCACACAAATGAATGAAGGCATGGGCATACAGGTGAATCCTGACCAACCCCATAAACACCCACAAAGGAAAGGGTCTTACGTTGACTAGGCACAATGGCTCACACCTGACATCCTGGTACTCTAGGAGGCCAAGGTAGGTGGACTGCTTGAGCTCAGGAGTTCAAGACCAACCTGAGAAAAGTGAGACCCCCTGTCTCTACTAAAAATAGAAAAACTAGCCAGGCATTGTAGTGGGTGCCTATAGACCCAGATACTCAAGAGGCTGAGGCAAGAGGACCTCTTGAGCCCAAGAATTTGAGGTTGCTGTGAGCTATGATGCCATAGCACTCTACCCAGGCAACAGAGTGGGACTCTGTCTCAAAAAAAAAAAAAGTCTCATGTCTAGATATGAACCTCTCAAAGCACCTCGCTTATTCAAATAGCTGATGCTTTGCCCAAATCAGAGTTCCCACATCAACACAGGGGAACATAGTCACCTGGAGGGGCCTGAAGCCCCAGCAGTGACTGTAGCTTTTGTGAAGGGCCTGGTCCTACAATGCTGTGAGATCTGATGGTGGCCATGTCAGTTATTAAGTTAATTAATTCATCAAGTGCTGCTAGGCGGCCTGCTCCGTAGCAGGATCTGGCCAGGCTGCTAGGTGGACAACACTGCCATTTTTTACCCTTTTTTAGAAACAGAGACTGAGCTTTGCACTTTACTGATGGACCCAACATTGGAAGAAAAGGCTCTTTAAAGCCCACAGAGGTTGATCCAGATGGCCAAAGTCACACAACTACATTCTGGACAGACACATGGGGAGATAGACAAGCCACTCAGGCCACCCACGGAGTCCAGAGTGATACCGGAGGAACCTGCCAGGTCCTGAGATGGGGACACCAAGGAGGGGACCGCTACCTCTGCCCCAGGGGGTTGCTGAGCCACCACAAGGCCAGGAAGGGTAAATGGAGCCTGCCGGGGGGCCGGAGGCTGGGAGATGGCTTTCTGGGGAGAGAACAGCAAGGGCAAGGCCTGGGGTCCTTCAGCTGTCTCTGGTGAAGCCCTGCAAGTATGTGTAAGGCGGGAGGAGGAGTGTTGGCCTGGCTCTGTCACTCAGGACCTTGGGGCCATGGCTGAGATGAGGGGAGGGAGCAATGTGGGGTCTTTGTGAAGGTCCAGGGGGTTAGATGAAGGTGTGCAAGCCCTGCCTGGCTTCAGTCTCCAGAGGGTCCTGACTCCTGTCCCAAGAGCCTTCAGGCTGGCTGGAGAGAAGCCTGTTCAGGGCCCACTTCTGTCCCAGAGCCAGGCTTATCATGGAGCATGGGGTACTCTCGTCTTCTCCCCATTCCATGGTGCTGACTGGGTGGCCAAGACCCAGCTCTGCCCAAGGTTTGGCAAGACAACAGGACTGACCTAGAAGGAGATGCTGAGGGGTGAGGGGTTGTCCCAGAGGACACAGCCCAAACACCCCCCTCCTCACTCCCTCCCGTCTCTGACCCTGTCCCTGGAAGCCCCCAAGCCCCCGTCCCTGCCCCAACCCCTCCACAGAACAGGGTGTCCCAAGCTTGGTAGGAGAGGGTGAGAAGCCGGTTGCTCACCTGAGGACAGAAACAGCAGGAGCAGGGTCCCCAGGGCCCTGAGTGTCATCATCCTTGGGACCTTGTTAGTGCAGGCCTAGAGCCCTGTGGTTATGTGGCTGGCCTCTGGTCCCAGACTCTGCTGAGTTACCCCTCCCACCCCTGAGACTCTGGCTTCCTGTGTCCCCTTCCTGCTCAATGGCGCCATCGGCCAGGTTGCGAAAAATGAGTGGGGAACTGGGCAGTGCTCCCAGCCTCACCCCACTGTAGGCCCACCTGCAGAGGGAGCTGCTGCACCCAGAGCCCCACCCAGTGGGTCTGTGGAGCTGGGGTCCAGAGGCCTCAGAAGCCTCCACCCTGGAGCAGACCCCAGGGCTCTGGTGATAAGCACGGCCTTTGGAGACAGGCGCACCTACATGCACGCCTCCTCTTGCAAGCTAGAGGCCTCTCTGAGCCTCAGTTTCCTCTTCTGTAAAGCAGAGATCACAATGACGCTGCCTCCTAGGGTTGTGTCAGGATTTGATGAGACCTTTAATAAGTGGGGCGCAGAGCCTGGCACTGGGGTGAGGCCTAAGACATGGATGGTACCCTGGCCTGGGGGCTTAGGGGGAGAGTAGGAGCTGGCCAGAAGCCCCAAGCCGCCCCCACTAGCCAGGATGACAGGACAGGCTGAGAGGCAGAATGGCAGGAAGGTAGCAGCATGGTTCAGGGGCCTGGTCAGACCTGGGCTGACATCCGTCCTGGCCACTTCCTGGCTGGTTGACCTTGTCTGCCGCACCAAGCCTCTCACGGGATGCATGAAGAGTGTGTAGAATGACTCATATGCAGTTGCTTGGTCAGTAGGTGTGGCCATTGTTATCATTTTCTGGTCATCAGTACTGTGAGTTATTGTTCTCGGCCCCCAGCTTATCACTGCTGACCCAGTGGGAGACAGGGCAGCAGGGAAGGGGCTGGGCTGACCACTCAGGCTCCAACTCTGGTGGCCTCAATGCAGCCCTATGGATGAGACTGGGCCCCACTAGGTGATCAGGTGAAGGGTACCCCACCGAGAAGGTGTGTCATCAACAGCACCTCCTTCAGGCCCACAGGCTGGAACTAGTCCTCTTTGCCTTTGGGTCCACCTGGGGAGCCACCCCTGCTTCCCCTCTTTCCACATGGTGTCCATACAGGCTTCAGTCCCTGGCTGAGCCTTCTGGGCCTGGAGAGGGCTGAGGTGAGAATGTCAGTGGCGCTTGTGGGATGGGAATCTGATGTGGAGCAGCAGGTCAAAATCCAGGGCTTCCTGAGCCCCAGAAACTTCCTCTGCAGGGAAGGTCCGGAGGGAAGATGGGAATGGCTGGGCCTGCCCTGCCTCCTCTCCTAGAGGTAGTGAAGAGAGGTGAAAAGTGTACTTGGATAGCCTGCCACCAGACCCCCAGCCCTACAACTGGTGCCTGGGCCCCCAGAGGGCTCACAGGTGCCAGTTGGTCATGAAAGGCCCAGAGATCTGCAGACTAGGACACAGAGCATCACATCCACCTGGGTAGGCAGTATCAGCGCAGCTGGGAAGGCAGCAGGGTTGAGTCAGAAGGGCCAGAAAAAAGGCCCCTTCTCTGAAAGTCACTGCTCCGAGGACTGTCCTGGAGCCACTTACAGAGCCCAGAGTCCCAGTGATTCAAACAGCACTGTAGTGTCTCCTTCTGCCACCTCCTGTCCTCAGCTTGTCCTCTGGCCAGATCCCGTGGCCACACCAATCTAATACTTCCCACGCCAGAGGGTACATTTCCAGATGCAGACCTGGCCATGTCCTGGTGGGAAGGGCGATTCTGTTGTCTAAAGCCCCACAACCCAGTAGAAAGGCCATGATTAGAACCATCAAAGAAGCACCATGTAGGTGTCAGGTGCCTACTCCATGGCCTATCAGAGAAGGTGGGACCTGACCATGACCTCTTCCCCATTACCTGCACCAGCCTCGAAAGCAGAAATGAGATGCCTAAGAAGGAGGAGAATCTGTCCCAGGGAAGTGCTGTCACCTCTCCCCCCAAGCCTAACCCAGGGAAGGGGCTTAAGGAGACCCCTTCACAGAGATCCAGAGGCCTATACGGAGGGGAGCTGGCTGTGATCCCACTGGGCTGCATGATCAGGACAATGGGGACAGGGGCTAGGGAAGGTTTGGCTTCTGTCCTCTGGAGTTCCCTGCCTCAAGAAAGGTCAGGGAGAGGCCAGTGGAAGGAACTAGGGAGTGGGGGGGAGGTCAGGAAACAGCAAGGACAAAGGAGGTTCTCATGTACCAAGTTCTCTGCAGGTCTCCAGAAGGCACTGCCAGTCTAGTCCTGCCTGCCATTCAGGCCTCACACTCATCTTGCCCACCTGAGACCACCTGAGACCAAGGGAAGGCCTCTTCCCTTGCCTGGGCTCCAGCCAGGGGAGGAGGCAGGAGGCCGTGAAGGAGAAGAGAAAGCTCTGCTGAGGGCTGGGGCAGCAATGAGTTAGACTGCTCTAGAACTTTACACCGGCACAAGGCAGCAATGGCCCAATCTGGCTGCTCCAACGGGGGTGGGGAACAGACCCCTACTGGATCTGCCCCACCTACAGGATGGGGAGGAACAATTTGGTAGAACAAGGGTGAAGGCCCAGAGGAGAGATCCATTGGTTATATATAGCACTAGGTGGGGGCTGGATTCAGCCCTCAAATGTGACATTTTTGGCCAGAAAGTTTCTTTGATTGACCCAAATTTTAAAGTCAGGGGGTTTCACACCATAATCTGGATTTCTTATTTCTTATTTAAAAAAAAGAAATGGGCCCTCATCCTTGCAAAGCAGTGAGCAGCCGGAGCTGACGAGCAGCCACCACTCTGGATTCTCCAGTTCACCTCAGACCCCACCTCTCCCCACTGTCCTCCCAACTGAACAAGTTGCCTTTGAACCTCCATCTGTCCTGGTTGATAAGACTTCCAGAAGTTGATTTTTCCCCCCATAGGTAGCCCTCTTCTCTCATGTTTTCTGATTGGCCCGGAGCTGTTTGTATCCGGGACTCTTTTAACAGAAGTATGGGAAAGAGCTCAGAAGGAAATGCCCCAAAATGCCCACAGCTCTTGCCCCAGAGAGAGGGCCTCTCCTCCTCCAGGCTCTGACGCCCAAGCTCTGCTGCATGGGTTAGGTCAGAGGTTCTCAATCTGTGGGTCACGACCTGAGGGCTCTGCTCTGTATTAAAGGGCCAAAGCATCAGGAAGGTTGAGAACCACTGGGTTAGGTGATAACACAGCTGATTTTTATTTTTCTTCTGAATATCTTCTACAGTCTCCGAATTTTCTACAATGAATATGTACTTCTATTTAACATCAAAAGACAAATGAATTGGTATTTAAAAAGAACATCCTCAGTCAGGCGTGATGGCTCACACCTATATGAATGAATCCCAGCATTGTGGGAAGATCACTTGAGCTCAGGAGTTTGAGACCAGCCTGAGCAAGAGCAAGACCCCCATCTCTACTAAAAATAGAAAAATTAGCTAGGTGTTGTGGCATGCAACTATAGTCCCATAGTCCCAGCTACTTGGGAGGCTGAGGCAGGAGGATCACTTGAGCGTAGGAACTTGAGGCTGTAGTGAGCTATGATGATACCACTGCACTCTACCCAGGGCCACAGAGCAAGGCGTTAGCTACGAACAAAAAGAACATCCTCTACATCTTTAAGATGAGATCAAAATCAAATGGTACCTCCTACAGGAAGTCTTACTGGATTCCCAGCCAAGAATGACGGCTCTCTGATCCTGTGCCTGGAGCTCCAGGAGATCTGCCTCATGGATACCCATGCAGTAGACTGAAGGTTGGTAGTAGGAGTGACCAGTTCTGGCCATCGTGTGCCTATCACCTAGCACAGATTGGCGATTATCTATTACGTGCTTTTTGGACAGAATTGGACTTGCTAGGCAGCCATGTGTGTCTGTAGCCGTTCTCAAGGATTCGGAGAGGACCCTTAGGAGAGTGTTAGGCTCTAGGACAGTGTCACCAGAAGAGGTAGGTCTCAGACTGTGGAGTGCTGGGATAGAAACGACTGAGACCACCACAGTCCATAGTTCTTGCCACAAGACAGCTTTGGGAGAGGCTGACAGCCCCTCTGAGGTGTGTGCTTGGCTATGGTGAAGCAAGGGTGACGCAGCTCAGAGAGAGCCCAGATGGACAGGTGGACCCTGCCTAGCACATGCGTCTATACTAAGCCTGAGTCAGGGCAGGCCAAGGCCTGGGCAGTAGATGACAGTTTACAGCAGGCACCAGGAAGCTCTTGGGAACCACTACCCGAAATACAGCGTTGGTATTGAGGGTTGTAGGCTGGGGGTGAAGGATAGGGAAGGCCCCAGGAGAGGAGAGAGGTAGGGGGGGTGGCTGACTGATAGAGAGAGCCCTGGGCTCAGAGTCAACCCACAGCTCTTGCCCCAGGGAGAAGGCCTCTCCTCCAACAGGCTCTGACCTCCAAGCTCTGCTGCAAGCCCCTGTGCCTTAGGCACCTTCAGGTGAAAATGATAGGAACTGCAGTGTCTGCAGGGCCCGGCTATAGCCACATAGCCGTCCTGGGCAGGGGCTCAGGGCTAAAGGTGTGACAGACCTCCAAAACCTGAGGCCTGACCCCCAGCAATGAGGGCTGGGCCCAGGGTGGTGAGGAAAGACCCAGGTTAGGACAACTGTGGGACAGTCTCACAGCCAGCATGGTGGCACACTCCTGAGTCCCTTGGGAGCTGCACTTGAGAGCCGAGCAGCCTCCAAGGCCAATTCATAAGGCCCAGCCTGGGAGTCCAGCTGCCATCATGATAGCCCCAGTCCTGCAAGGTACTTGGGCTTTCTCGAGTCTCTGACTGACCGCCGAGGGCAGGGTCCAGCTGCGGGAAGCGCAGGCAGAGTGAGCTGAGGCCGTGTCTGCTTCCTCTCTCCGGGCAGGTGAGCTGGTGCCTAGATGCGGCTGGATGAGGTGCTGGTGGAGCTGATGGGAAGCCTGGCGCTGTCTGAGCTGTTCTTCAGAGGGGAGGGGCCACCCCGGGCCTGCAGCCGCATGAACCAGTACCAGAGGAAGATGAGGAAGCCTGTGGGCAGCGAGGGCGCGGGCTGAGTAGGCGGGGCAGCCCCTGCTTCCCCACCCCCTTGTCTCAGATCTGCCTGCCACCTCTGCCAGACACTCACATGACCGGGAGCCCTGCCCAGCGCCCTGCCCAGCACCGGGCACTATGCTGCAGCCTTGCCACCTCTACTCTCTCAGCATTCTCAGAGGCCAGTCCTATTTGTTACTATTCTGTCTTCCAAACAAGAAAACTGAGGCCCAGGTGTGGGGACTTGGCTGAGCCAGAGCGGCAAATGGAGGTGAACAGACTCCTTCCAGAGCCCACCCATTTAAGCACTGGGTGGTGGACTGTCCGCACAGGTCATACCACTATGACTTCTCAATAGCTCAGAGACTCCTTCATTTCACAGTTGAGAAAATGAAGAGTCGAAAGTGAAATAACTAGAATATAGTGACATTTACACACACACAGACCCCCACTTCTGTTCTACGATAGCCTGTGTGGGAGGCTGGCCTTTCAACCCCATGTGAGCCCCAGACCTGGCTATGCAACCTTCCTCCCCTCTCAGCACTGCCAAGGGGGGTGAGGGTGGGAGGGAGGGGAGCTACGTGTGCACCTGTGAGTGTATATACCTAGGTCTGTGTGCACCTGTGTGTGTGCACCTGTGTGTGTGTGTGCACCTATGTCTGTGTAGGACAAGATCTGTGTGCACCTGGGTCTATGTACATCTGTGCATATGTGCACCTATGTCTGTGTGCACCTATGTCTGTATTCACCTGTGTGTGCATCTGTGCACGTGTGCACCTGTGTCTGCCTGTGTCTGTGTGCACGTGTACATGTGCGTATGAATGTGCATGTGTATGTCTGAATGAGTGGAGGAGGCAGGGGTGCACAGCTGCAAGTAAAACAGGAAGGGACCCCCATGGCATCAAGCCAGGCCCCGTGCTCCTGCCCTCTGCCTCTCATTCATTACCCTTTGGCCACAGTCCTCACTGTTCTTCTGACACATGACCTTCATGACCTTGTACTGACCTTAGGACCACTGGTCTTGCTTTTCCCTCTGCCTGGAGCTCCCTTCCCCTAGACCAGGGCTCCTCCACCTATAATGCGCACATCAGTCCCTTGGGCATTTGTGAAAATGCAGATTCTGATTTAGCAAGTTTGGTGTGAGCCAGATGCAGTATTTCTTTTTTTTTTTCCTTTCTTTCTTTTTCTTTTCTTTCTTTCTTTTTTTTTTTTGAGACAGAGCCTCAAGCCGTCACCCTGGGTAGAGTGCTGTGGCATCACAGCTCACAGCAACCTCCAACTCTTGGGCTTAAGCAATTCTCTTGCCTCAGCCTCCCCAGTAGCTGGGACTACAGGCATCTGCCATAAAGCCTGGCCATTTTTTGGTTGTAGTTGTCATTGCTGCTTGGCCGGCCCGGGCTGGATTCTGCTATATGTGGTTGGCGCCTTAGCCGCTTGAGACGCTCAGCACCTTAGGTGCTGAGCCAGATGCAGTGTTTCTAACAATCTCCCAATGCTGCTGCTGCTGCTCCATGGACCACCACTGGAGTAATGAGACCCCCCTAGAGCTCTCCATGGCTGGGACTTCTTATTGTCCTCACATGTCTACTATACAGGAGGCCTCCCTTGTCGGCCGTCCTAGAGTGTCCCCAGCTCAGCCCAGGACCTAGCATCACACTGCCTACTTCACTTCCCTGCTCTTTGAGGTACCT